ATATATATACATTCCTACATTCCCATTACGGCCTCATAATGGCCATATCCGCATAAAATGGTTGGTCATATATCTCCATGACTGCACATATATGATACTGACATTATTTGATATTTCACTTTGATATTCCACTTTATATACATATATACAGACATTGATACACACTACAAAACACACATACACATATACATGTGGATATTTATATATAATATACTGAACATATATATATATATGCAACCCCCCTTAGTATTAAACACCATGCACCATGCATTAGGGCACCATGCACCATGCTGACTGGGAGGCTCTTCTTTTCCCCTGCCAAAGCTGCAGAGCTCAGTTTCCAGGCGCATTTCTTCATATGGGCCATGGCTTCCAGGTGCTACGTATTTAATTATGTGACTATGTTATGTTACTCTCTGGTTATGTCAAAATAGCTATCGAAAATGGCCATAGAAATAGTGAGTTTTCCCATTAAAGACGGTGATTTTCCATAGCTATGTAAACGTTTACCAGAGGGTATGTTATATATATATATATATGTATATACATGAAAATATCTGTGTGATTAAGTGGTTCAGAATGACCATTACTATCATGATGACTTGTTTTCTTTCTGATGGGTCTTATGTTTATCCTCATGATTGGCTTCTACAAGAGGAATCCGGGAAGTCGTCGTGACTTCAGGGTGGTTGAGGCAGCTTGACCATCAGCCGCCTGAGGCTCCACATCGAACCATCTGCAGGTGAACATCTGCATCAAAGTATAGTGTTTTTCTTTTCAATCACAGGACGTCAGGGGGCACTGGAATGTGTTTTTTTGGTTAGCAAGTGTTAAAACTGCTATACTTGTGGAGTTTTATACTGGCAGGTGGCAGGTACCTTGTTTGATAATCCTGCAAGGCTTCAAGGTTTGTTCAGTTCTTAAAGTTGCGGTAGACACTCCAGGCACTCCAACATCTCTTGAACATCTCTCCAACCAGGAAAAACGATTACAACAAACCGGCGTTTCCAATGTGCTGATGAGGCAAGCACAGCATCTGGACGTTCAGCCCTGTCAACCAGCAATGGTCCCCAAGTGACGCAAGTGGTTATTGACCCGCACCTCATTGCAAGTTTGAGTTCATTAGACCCATGTAGTTTCGCAGGTTAAAAGTTGAATCCTTAATAATAATCCTCATGATTTTCATGGTAGAAGTATGTAGAAGTGCCACTTTGTTGGCAAAAACATATGAAAAATACATGAACATCCCAATTTTGGGCTCCATTTCCCCTTGACGTCGCCGGATCTTTTCGCACGCACCGCGCAGGGCTTCGGTTCCAGCGTGCCCGTACCAGGGCGCAAGCCTCGTGTCTTGGCGATATCAACTAGTAACTAGCTAAATAATGGATAATTGTAGTGGTTCAAGGGTTATACCATGTTATACCCAATATGAATTATTATCCATTTTATATTCCTTGTACATATACATGTACATATATATACATATATATATATACATATATATGTCTAAACTTCTTTTTGAAAAGGAACAGTGGCAAACCATGAATTCATTCGAGACATGGGAGTTGGAAACAACCAAAATAGTAGCTCATTCTCCATGTTGCGGGCATGGATTCCCAATCTTCAATGCTGAAATCAGCTTAATTTGAGAATTGGCTCGAAGGATATGTTACATGAAACCTTCTCATATCATATATGTGTTTCAAATCGTCTGCCAGATTCTGCAGATGTTGATCCCCAGTAATCAAACATGGCAACGTAAAACCCCAAGGTTTTGATCGGAAAATCACAGGCGGCTACAAGCGCGCGGTCCTGCGGCGAATCATCACAGGTCAGGTGCCGTGCAGGCGATGCGGAGCCTTGAACCGGTGCAGATGGGAATTTTCCCCGGTGTATTGGCCTTACTTCAGGGTAATTACATTTAATTGTGAATTTTTTAGCCAGATGAATCTCAGATGAATATTAAGAATACGGGATGTAATTTCCCAATACCAATTGGCCAATGCTCATCTGGCTAATATGTCAGGTTAATTATGATAATTTAGAATGGGATGCATAGAATTAATTATATATATATACCCCAGAGTAAACTAAGACAGGTGTGGAAAATCCATGGTTTCGTTTGGAACATGATCTACATCTATGTTAGTCTACCCTAGGGTAGCGGAATATAAATTTCCAGAATATTAGTATTCATTTCATAACACTTTTCATGATATCCCTATTCCCAATGATGTTAATCATGGGATAACAATATCAATGAGAATAACGATTAATGATGGGATATATCACCATAGTCCCAATGAACAAGTAATTATTGCTTGTGAGATCTTGTGAGTTATATCCCACTAATGTCCCATGAACTATGTCAATGAACAAGTGTATTAATGGTGGGATAATAAAGACGCTGCTAATATCAATGAATGGGATAGTGATGGGATATCAATATGGACAATGTACTAATATACTAGTTGAGATCCCCATTAACATTAATTATGGGATAGTTAACAACCCCCCGAAAAGGTAGAACAGTAGATTCTCACTGTTTTTGAATGCTTTATTATTATTATTATTATTATGTTTTACGAACTTCTATTTTTTTGGCGTTGCTATGATATATCATATACTAGTGTTGTTCTAATGGGATGATCAATGATTCATGGGATATGTGATATGAAGAATGGGATGATCATATGTTCCTACTGGGAGAATTTGGTAAATTCAATTTGCCTACCAGTTGGTGGATTGTATATGGAAGCTATTTATGGGAATACTGGGGATAGTTTACTATTGGGTTTACCACATTAGTTGCGATAATAAAAGGAAGAACACATGGTTTTATGAATGTTAACAACGCTACGATTATTGATGATTTATGTTTTTTCTAATTGGATAATTATTATACAGTAATGGGAATAGTAATGCTAATCACAGGGGATATAATTGGGATATTTGAATCCATGGAACTCGGAAAATCTATAAAATATATCGGGCATCTTCGGTGTCTACAGCTTAAATCCGTGATGTAGTTGAATTTTACATGTGTTTTACACCCACTTACAACCACGGTAAGGTAGGTTCACTTCCAACTACAGTAACTTTTATATCTACTGTATGCAACTCGGCGGAGCTGGTGAATTTGCGTTGGACTGTAGTGTGATCTCTGGAAGTCTCAAAGGATGTCCCTGGGGACCCACTGAGTTCATCCAATTCTGAGAACATCATTTGATCATCATGGATGAATATTATGAAATTATCAAGGAGCATCACCAGGGATTGTAAGTATTATAATTATACTTCTATGATTGGATTCATATCATCATTCTATCAATTCCAAAGCATTGATCATTAGATTATCATCATAGAATCATACGATGTTTCAAACCATGGGAGTAGTTCATTTCCATGTATCCACTGTTCCAAAAATTAATTTTGTTCCCCGTGATATCCTACTCATAAACGTCTCCCTATGTAAACATTGCTTGCCAATTCCAATCCCAAACATGTGCTTCCCAATTGGACATACAATGTTTGGAATTCCGAAATATCTGTTTTATTGGATTTATTTTGCTTACAGTTATGGCCGGAAATAGCAGTTAACCCAAGCAGGCTTCACCAACTCCTTCGCAGAGTCATGACGCTGGAGGACGATGGTGACCGTCTTGTGATCCATCCCAACAACATGAAAAAACATCGACTGATTGGAGGGATTCACTGGAATATGATTAAACAACATTGTTCTTTCTATTATCCAACCATAGGCACAAATTAAATGTTATATAATGTTATGATCCCCCTAAGACTGACTGTTCATTTAATCAGTGCCCTGGTTGCCCAACCCAGTGAAGATGATCCTGTGGAAGGACAGCAACATCGTGGATTCAGCGGGAATGGATGCCCTTATCCTGCTCCCTGGGCGGCGTTGATCTTGGGGGAATTGGGGGTCTCCCTCGGTGACTATGACCCACCCTGCTGAAGTGTTGTGAGTCAGGTCACTTTAGGGAACTTCGCTGGGAATATTAGACACTTCTTGGGATGAGATCACTGGGTGCTTCTTGCCGTGGTTCTCTTGGGGTTCCACATGCTGCATTGCAAGCCATGAATCCATTAGACAAATGATCTTTATGTTTGGTTCACCTGTTTGTTTTTCCAGATCAGATCAGATCAGATGCAGCAATTGGCTCCCTAACGACCATAAGTAGTGCAACCAGTTCACCCTAGTTATTGCATTGTTACTAGTTGTATTTCCAGTTATGTATATATATATATATGTATATATATATATGTATATATATATATATGTATATATATATATGTATATTGATAGGGATTTCCTAAAATGGTGGATCCCCTGTCGTCACCGTGGCTTTATTAAAAGTGGTGTGACGGTCAGGGATCCCAGTCACCGCCAGCCTCGCTTCGAGGTTACGTTTCTGCGCGTTGTGTGGTCGCTTCTGCGTTGGGAGCCGAGGGATGGCATGGCCAGGGCATATCAGATACACCGGTTATCGGTGACTTGTAATGACCACAACATCAGAAATCAATGCAAACGACAGTTTAATACAGTTTATGTATTTTAGTATATTTGAGTATGACCATGCCAAATTTTATGTTATTTCAGGTGTGTGTTTGATCATGATTTATATATTCTGGCTCAGGAATATTCAGGATAATTTGCAACAATTTGCTCAGGTAGAATATGATACAATCCAACAATATCCAACATATATATATATTATGTTTATAAATATATATATACACATATGTATATACAGTGTGTATATATATATACACATATGTATGTGTACAGTATATATTATCAACATAGTATGATCCATCACTGGCATCTAGCGCACACCTCACAAGTCTCATCCATGACGGGATATAGGGTTCTCACTAGTTGCTACGCCAACCTTTGGCTCAAGAACACCGCTGCTAAAATAGCGAGTTGCATATTCTCCGTTCATGGTAGCGGAGCGATACGCTCCAGGGTCTTAGCAATGGACCAACAACAAGCGGCACAGGTCCTCCAGTCGCTCCAGGAACTACAGACCGAGGTCAATCGACTAAGAGGCCGAGAAGCTGAACTGACAGCACAGGTCGCTTCTTTTGGTGCCGGTTCGGCTGCTTCAGCTGGACCTGGCAGTGCGCTGGCACAGTTGGTGCAGTCACAAAAGGAGCTTGTGGACGCCCTTAGATCGAAAGAACAAGTCCGGTTGGTCGACAACAAGGGCCTTGGCAAGCCCGACAAGTTTGATGGGACAGCCGAAAGATTCTTGTCATGGAAAATCAAGACGTCCTCCTATCTTGCAAGTGTTCGCAAAGACCTTCGTGAGATTCTGGTTTGGGCCGAAGATTGCGATCATGCAATCACTGCAGATGACATCGACAAGGCTTTTGGGAGTCAAGCAGATGCCATTGACCAGGTGTCGAACATCAGTGAATTGAGACGCGAGCTTTGGGACGCGCTGCTAATGCTGACAGAGCGTGAGCCCTTTGACATCGTGCTGAACACCGGGGAATGCGGCATCGAAAGCTGGAGAAAGCTCACGCGGAGGTACGACCCATCCACTGGTGGTCGCAAACGCGCTCTCCTCAATGCAATCTTGTCACCGGCTCGGTCCAAGATGGAAGATTTGCCGTCCAACCTGGAGAAGCTTCTTGACAGCATCAGACTTTATGAACGTCGCAAAGACGCATCTGGCAACCGAACGATGTTGGCAGAAGACATCAAGATCAACGTGATTGAACGATTGGTGCCGGCAGAGCTCGAGCGTCATCTCGTTCTCAATCGAGATCGCTTCAAGACGTTCGAGTCCATGCTGTCCGAGATCCAGTCCTATGTGGAACATGCCACCGGCAACAAGATCAAGGTGGTGAATAGCCAGCCCTACGACGCACATGGCCGTGGGGACGATCCTATGGATGTCGGAAGCTTTGGAAAAGATGCGAAGGGAAAAGGTAAGGGCAAGAAGGGAGCTGGAGGAAAACCTGGAAAGGGAAATGCAACAGCTGAGAAGAGAACATGTCACAACTGCGGACGCCCAGGACATCTGCGGGCAGATTGCTGGGCACCTGGAGGCCCCAAACATAAGGGGACGGGTGGCAAAGGCAACAGCAATCAGAATAAGGACAAGGGCAAGGGCAAAGGCAGCCCCGGAAAGCACAAGCAGAAGCCCAAAGGAGGCAAATCTGTGAACAATGTCGAACAAGGTGAACCAGAAGCAGAAGACTGGGACGCAGCTGATGGCGACGATGGTCAACAAGCAGCAAATGGTTTAACGCTCTATGGCGTTGATGGGCCACCACATGACGAGGATGACGACGAAAGTTTCCAGGTCGATCCCGAGTCCGAGGAGTCGGAAGCCTCGACAAGTCGCAGAAGGTGGTTTTCTTTGCCTCACCCACGTGCGTCATGGCCTGAAGAGTGGGACGACCCCGACTATGATGGACCGAGTGGATCGAGTGGCTCAAGACCCCTTCGGTCGCTTCGACTGGAGGAGGTCACCGAGCACGAGACCACTACATCCAAGTCCGCGTCTTCCAAGGCACCTCGAACGCCACAGGGAAGACCCAAGAGGGGCAGAAGTCCAAAGAGCTCAACACCAAAGAGAGGCAAAGCAAGCAGATCAGGGCCAGTCACTCCGGAGTCAGCACTCCGACGCTTTCGAATGACTTCGATGACACCACCACCAAGGAGAAGGTTGAGGCATGGGCCACAGACTCCAGAAGAACTTCTTCGTAGCTCTACACCTTTGCCAAAGACACCACCGACACCTATAGCATGGCCTGCATCACCTCCACAACAGCCGATAGCCTCGCCCAAGACTCCACCAGGACCACCACCAGGATGGCAAAGCCAAGTAGCTTCACCCAAGACTCCGCCATGTCCACCACCGGGATGGCAAAGCTCTCAGGTGAAGCCACCACCACCTGTCAAGGCATCATCGGCAGCCTCGACTTCAGGTTCTCGACTTGTCCAGATGCTGAAGGCTGCGCTGAGTTCGCAAATCCGCAAAGCCCAAGAGGAAGATCCTGGCTCAGGAGATGGCCAGTCAGATGCGATGTTAGCGGCTTTGAGGAACAGATCTGTCAAGGCACCGCACATCACAAAGCAGAACATCAGCGATCCTTCTTTCCACGACTCGAGATACCATGCCGAGATTGCCAAAGGTGTTGCACACAATGTGGCCTGGAGAAATGAACGTTTGAGAAGACGTGCAATCGTCCACCGACGAGGAGGAGTCAAGGCACGTGCGGCTGAAAGGATTCGACTTGACAAAGAATGGCATGAACGCTTTGACAACCCAGAAAATCCAGAAGGCATAGTGAGAATCGAGGATGAAGACAACTTGGATGCGGGCATCGAGACGGTGGTTGTGGGCAAAGCTGGTCAGAGCACAGTGATAGAGTTTTCAATGGAAGAGCGGAAAACTTTGAGGCAGTTCCCGGACGACGAGGCCAAGTTGCTGCGGAAGGATCCCAAGAAGAAACCCATGACCAAGCGTGTTCGAAGCGTTGGGTACAGGGTGAAGAAGAATCGCAACCGCAATGTGGCGCGCAAGATGGCGAGGAAGAACCGACCAGCCTTGGTTCTGAAGGAAAACACTGAAGTGGATGCAGATGAAGATGATGATGAAATGGAAGAAGTCTACATCGAAGAGCCCGATGAGCCTCGAGACCGACCAGGCAGAGGAGACCCCGATGGTGGAGCTGGATCGGCTCCTGCTGCAGTCTACAGCTTGGGGGCCTCTGACGACTGGCGAAAATGGGAACGAGCAGAGTTGAACATCGACACCGGTGCTGCCATCACTGCAGTACCACTTGACTTCGCCAAGGACTACCCGAGGAGCGAGTCCAATGGAGCAAGCTACAAGGCAGCCAATGCGGAACCCATCGAAGATCAGGGAAGTGTGAAGCTGGTGGGATACGACGAATCTGGCAACAAGATCCCAATCGATTGCCGAGTTGCAGATGTGCATCGGCCACTTCTTTCAGGTTCCGAGATCGCCAAGAACTACCACATCGCCCTTGGACCATCTTCGGGGAGATTGATCCCAAGAAACACTCCTGCGGGACGGGCCTATTCGAAGGCCATGAAAGATCTGATCCGAGATTATGGCGATTCAATGCCCATTGTGCACAATCGCCGAGGCATCTATGTGTTGGACTATTGGGTGTCACCTTTTCAGGGGCATCCTCAAGAGGAGTAAGACCACAAATCAACGCTGTTGGCGAGGATCCAGCTGTTTCAGCCGGAGCCGATGCCATGGAAGATGGAGGCGATGTTTCAGCCGCTTCGGCCGGAGCAGGGTCCTCAGGCGATGTTCCAGCTGCTTCAGCCGGAGCAGATGCCTTTGAAGATGAAGTTGATTTGGAAATCGGTGAAGAACAGAGGAAAGCCATTGTGAAGAAAGAACCACATCAACCATCCCAAGCTGAAGTTGACGAACATGAAAGCACTGGACATGTTGTCCATCGGAGCTGGTGCTTGCACTGCAAAAGGGCACGTGTGACTGCTGATCGCCATGTGCCTAAGGAACTTGATGAGCCAGAAACGCAGTTGCCCACGCTGAGCCTGGACTACTTCTATATGAACCAGGACCAGGTTGCGGATGAGGCGACCCTTCCGAGCATTGTGGCGAAGTGCCACAAGACCAAGAGATTTTGGGCGAGCGTTCTCCCGGGAAAAGGGGCGGATGCGTTCGCAATCGCGTGGCTTGGGGGAGTTTTGGATGATGCTGGTTTTAATAAGGTAATCCTTAAGTCTGACGGTGAACCCTCCTTGGTATCCCTTAAACAGAAGGTTAAGGAGATAAAGACCCACATCGAAGTGCACTTGGTGGAAACCCCAGTAGAAGACCATCAAGCCAATGGGTTTATCGAAGTGGGAGTGCGAGAGATAAAACGACAATGTCGTGCTCTCCTCAGCGACCTGGAGTTCAAGCTGGAAAGGAAGGTAGATCCGGGCCATCCACTTTTGGTTTGGCTCCCGCGGCATGCTGCCTTTCTCTTGACGAGATACCGAGTAGGTACTGATGGAAAGACCGCTTTTGAGCGGACCTATGGACGAAAATGGCGGATTCCGCTTGTGAGGTTCGGTGAAAGCATCCTGTATAGGCCGAGGGCCAATCGTGGGGGCAAGAGAAATGACCTTGCTCCAAGGGTATCCATTGGGATGTACGTTGGAACTGGAAACAGAAATTCAGACGTCTTTGTCATGACGGAACGTGGAATCATGAAGGGGAACTCGATCCATCGACGCCCACCTGACGATCAGTTCAAACATGATCAGTTTGACTCGCTACGTGGCCTTCCTTGGAGGTTGCAAGAACGAGAACATGGTGGACTGAGGATCGCCCTTCCCGATGTTGCAGCGCCTCGTGAAAGGCCTGCAGTGCAAGAAGTGATCCCAAGGAACCTCTATGTCACCAAGAATGACTTGGAAAAGCATGGGCACACACCTTTGTGTCCTGGATGTGAAGCAGCAATACTTGAGATGCCAAGCCGAGCTCACAATGCTGAGTGCAGACAAAGAATCCAGATCGAACTTGACAAGACTCCAGAAGGTCAAGAAAGGATCAAAAGAGCGAGAGAGAGAGTTGCACAAGGCAGGCGCCCAAGAGGCGCGGCTGCACCGCCTGAGGGTGGTGGGGCAGAAGGTGGTGAAGCTGCACCACCAGTTGTCCCAGGAGGGGAAGTTGAACAACCAGTCTTGCAAGACCGTGTTCCTTTGGATGCGGAAATGGATGCAAGTGAGGCTGTTGGTGAACCACTGGTCGACACCGATTTTCGTGGAGAACTCAGACAGAGAGAACAAGAAAGAGAAGGAAGCCCAAAGAGGCAGAAACAAGAACAATCCCGAGGAGAGAAAAGGAGTTCACAAGTCGACGTTGAAGATCTTTACAATGAATCTTCAGCTCAGGCTTCAGGGTCAGCCGGACCACCGGCACCGGATGCTTCATCTGGTGTTCCGGAAGGTGCTGCCGCTGCACCAACAAGTCCTGAGACAAACCAGGAGATGCTACATCTGTGTTCCTTGCTCAAAGATGTGATCGCAAAAGGGAAGGTTGCTGAGATCTTCTCTCCACCGCGTGTGGCTGCACAAGCCCAAGTGGTCGGGCTAGCACCTGGCTTCTCGATTGACTTGGAGACAAAGCGTGGTGATGGAACTCACTGGGACTTGAGTAAAGATGAACACATTCGTGATCTGTTTCAACTGCTTGACTATGAGAAACCAGAGTTCCTCGGCGGCTCACCTCCCTGTGGGCCATTCTCGAAGCTGCAAAACATTGTGGATGCGAAGGGCAATGTTTCACCTGAAGTTCGAGCGCAGAGACTAAAAGATGGTCGCAAACATCTGCGCACGGCAGTTTCAGCGTATGAGCATCAAATGAATGCTGGAAGGTACTTCTACCATGAGCACCCTAAAGGGGCCGCTTCGTGGGAAGAGAGAGCTGTGAAGAGACTGAGGGCAGATGAACGGGTGTATGAGGTCACTGGACCAATGTGCCGTTGGGGAATGAAGGCCGCCGATGGCCAAGGTGAAGGGTTAGTGAAGAAAGAAACTACCTGGCTCACGAACTCTCCAATCCTGGCACAGACCCTACAAGGGTGCTGTTCAAACAAAGAAGGCAAAGTTTGGCACCGCCATGTACATCTTGTTGATGGACGAGCCCGAGCTGCCCAGAAATACCCACCAAAGCTTGTCCACGCAATTCTCAAGGCCATTAGGCGCCAACTGGAATGTGATGGAGAACTACACTCACTTTCACATGGCCCAGTACCCGATGCTGGACCTGTGATCAATGAAGAGGAGGAGTTTTGGAAGCAGCTGCCCGACAGCGATGACACCATCGTGGAGCCAGTGCTTGACGCACACTCCGGTGCTGTCTTGGATGTTGACAAGGTCAGAGCTGCTCGACAAGAAGAACTAGCATGGGTACACAAACAGGGTATCTATATCAAAGTTCCACTCACAGAAGCCCAACAGTCTGGAAAACCGGTCATCACCATGAAATGGATTGACAGAAACAAAGGGGATGCAACACACCCCAACTACAGGTCACGTCTGGTCTGTAGAGAGATCAAACGGGCCAGCAATGCTGACTTCATTCCGGACTATGCGTCCTTCAGTTCGATGCCGCCTTTGGAATCGCTGAAATTGCTTCTATCGCTTATGGTGACTTTGAGACGATCCAAGTCTGGCAATGCACTGAAAGTTCGTCTTCTTGACATATCACGCGCTCACTTCTATGGAGAGGCAGAGCGTGATATCTTCGTGCAGTTACCTGAAGGAGATCGACAAGAAGGGTTTTGTGGCAAGCTCGTTAAGAGCATGTATGGAACACGCGATGCATCAGCGATCTGGCAAAGATCATATACAGAACTTCTCATCCGAGCTGGTTTTGCCAAGAATCAAGCTTGGCCATCCTGCTTTTACCATGAAGGTTACGGTGGTATTCGAGTTCTTGTACACGGAGATGACTTCGTGGTGCTTGCTGATGATGCTGGACAGAAATACCTTGAGGACACCTTGAGGTCCAAATATGATCTGCGGGTCGATGGATCGATCGGTCCTGGAGAACGGCATCAGCAGTTCGCAGTGCTCAATCGAATCGTGACCTACAACGAGCAGGAAGGCTCTGTATCCTATGAGGCGGATCCCCGCCACGTTGACCAGATGGTACGAGATCTAGAAATGGAAAACTGTAAGCCAGTCAAGACACCATCTGAGAAAATGTCAGCCACGGAGGCCAACTTGAAGTTGACCACCCCGACCATCACACCGGACCGTGTAAGTTTCTTCCGGTCTCTGGTGATGAGAGCGTCGTATGTGGCACAGGACAGACCTGACATCGCGGAGGCAGTGAAATGCCTATCAAGAAGAATGCATGAGCCCAAAGAATCTGACTTTCAGGATCTGAAACGCTTGGTGAGATTTCTGAAAGGGAAACCACGTGTACTTTTGAAGTTTGGTCGCCAGAAGTTTGCTGACACGATCCACATGTACGTGGACTCCGACTTCGCTGGGTGTCTTCTTACAAGGCGCTCAACAAGTGGACTTGTGGCAACCTTTGGCCGCCACACGGTGAAGGCCTCGAGCACTCTTCAGAGCACGATCAGCTTGAGTTCCGGTGAAGCGGAATACTACTCGATCGTTCGAGGAGTTTCCATCGGAATGTCGCTACAGGAGATCTTGCGAGGATGGGGCCTACAACCAAAACTTAAAGTGCACACAGATTCATCCGCTGCGCTGGGAACATGTAACCGTCAGGGCTTAGGCCGCTCACGGCATGTTCAAACTCGCTTTCTGTGGGTGCAAGAAAAGCTTGCACTACATGAATTCGAACTGGTGAAGATCCCGACAAAGCAGAACGTAGCTGATTTGTGCACCAAAGGTTTACCTGCGAATGAGATGGAAAGACACATGCAAAGCATGGGGTTCGAGTACTCTCATGGTAGAGCCGAAGCTGCAAAGGCTTTGGAATGAGTGTACATCAGCTTAGGAAAATCCCAGCCTCTGTACAGGAGGGGTGACGGGATATAGGGTTCTCACTAGTTGCTACGCCAACCTTTGGCTCAAGAACACCGCTGCTAAAATAGCGAGTTGCATATTCTCCGTTCAATATTATAATAAATATACATATATTGACATACATATATGTAATTAATATAGATGAGAAATATATTTATGATACAGTGGGGCTCTTCCAGCTAGTTGGTCTAAACGCCCAATTGAACTGTCGATATATTCATCGTAGATCCAATCCAACGGTCATTTTCATCCCATGGCAATTGTTGTGGGTCAGTGGCGAATGTTGAGTCATAATGACATAATGAGTCATACTCCAATCATTCACTTAAAGAAAGCGGATAATTCATGCGAAAGATGGCTAGTAGCCAGTAGCCATTTGTTTTGCCTGAACTGGAACCTGTTGTTTTGACTGACTCATGGACAGACTCCCAGAATTGGAATGGGGAGTTCACATTTTCTATCCGAAAAACGGACAAGGACACCATCTGAAAAAAGACGTTCAAAAGCTTGGGTTTTCATCTTCACTTCCAGCTTTGTAAGTCAAAATGCAAGCTATCCCTCGTTGGAGCTGTTTCCCTTCAGTCACCAAAACATAGCTATGGAACACCCAGCATTTTTACATCATTTCCTGGACCCTTTCCTGGACCCAGTGGCCCCAGCCAGGCAGCAGTACTTCCGTCCACTCTACAGGGTTGGAAAGTGGCGTGCGGACTACAACATGCGGGCGGGCAGTGCAAGATGATGTCCTGTGAGAGATCTTTTAAGTGCTAGCACTTGGAATAGCTGCCAGTAGGACATCATGGACATCAACGAACATGGAAATATGATGTAATAAGATGTAATATGCGAAAGCTGAGGATATGAAATCATTTGGTGGCATGCTATGAAATGTCACCGAAGCCGGCATTGGGTTCACGACGAACGACCCTGAAATTCCAGACAGGTTCGCGATTGAATGGTTATATCTAAGGGGGCAATCAAGCAGTATTGGGCAAACCCAGCGATCATATCATGTTGGTTGATTATATCATATTATCAACTTTAAACGTCATCATATCCCATATTATGGATAGTAGATCCCCGTTAGGATATACCCACAATTATATACAACTATCCTATTTCGCAACTTACCACCATTTATATATATATATACATATCCTCCAACTATATACCATGATTATGGTTAGATATCATATATATATATATTTATAATATCCAATAATCCTATAATATCTGTGGGTATGTAGAACATCACATATTGTGGTCAATTAGTAAATCCCATAAGCTTATACCCCCAATGGTAGCATATCCTATATCTATCATTATTTATCTATGTGTATGTACCCTCCTGATATTACATCCTATGTATTGGATAAATATCATTGGGGGTCAATATCATTGGGGGTAAACGCATAGATAGATATTGGATAATCTCCTATTATCATTGGATCTAATCTAATATTTCATTGGATATTTTCAGGTTTCCTAAAATAGGGGTACCCCAAAAGAATCTGTTTCAATACTATGATTTGGTCTAATTTGATGATGTGGGGGTAGCCCTATGTTAGGGTTATCCCCCATATACCCTCTGGTAATTTGTTACATAGCGATTGAACATGGCCAGAGAAAGTTCGTTGATGTACCTACTAAAAATGGTGATCTTCCATAGCTTTTTGTATGTTTACCAGAGGCTAAATCCCATCAAATCCCATTCAATCCCATTAAAAATGGTGATGTTCCCATGAGTTTTTTGTAGGTTTACCAGGCCGGGTAGTCACGCCTTGGATTCCCGAGATAGGCCTTGGATTCCCAATGAAACCCCGCTCCCCACGGGGTCCAATGAAACCTGGATGACCTGGATGACCTGTTTCGGCCGCCAGTTGGCTCGTCGAACGAAGCTCCGACGGATCAAGGAGTTGGGACACCAAGGTTTCCGGCAGGAGATAGGAGTTGGGACACCCGGCACGGGGTAGCTATTCATAATAAGCATAGAAAATGGTAAATGGTTATCTATGGGGGTAGCTATTCTATGGTGATTCTCATCTATTCATCACCAGGAGAATCACCATGAGGATAACCATAGTCATAAATGTCATAAATGTCATTTGATAAATATCATAATTTTTATTATCACCAAAATCACCAGTTGTTACCCTCCAGAAAATGAACATCGACCCTGCCAGATAGGGATTGGAAGATTGGTTCCATTGAAAAAAATGCTATTTTCATGGTCTATGTTAATTTACCAGAGGGTAACCATGAATAATTAACCATGAATAAATGTCATAATACATATCATAATAAATATCACAATAAATATAAACAAAAACATATTTTTAGATGATCTATCACTAAAAGGTAACTGCTTGGGGTTGATCGGGAACTATGAAGAAGGTATATATAATCTTGGGACATCTTTTGACTGAAGATTGTTATACAATGATCCCAATTACTGTTGTTAACCCAATAACGAAACATCCCCAATATTACCATAACTGGCTGGTAAATATCATCCCCAAATAGTAGGTTTATTGTTGGGTTTACCACATGATACTATAGTGTACTAACAAATGTGTTTTCAAGTGTGTTGAACGCGTTGCATGTCATGTTAGTGTATGTGTTATTTATATTCATGAATGTATGGTTGTGTTAGTTGGAATCTTATGTCATCCTACAAAATATACTAGCACAAACATAGCAGTACATACCAGTACTAATGATTAAACAAATATGTAGATGCTTTGAATCTAGGGTTTGAACCCATGTATCCCAGAAGTGCATCATTTTTTGTGTATCCCATTTACTTGTTCACCCAAGTTATTAACCCGTGATTTATATCCCATGAAGTGGATCAGAAAAGGTCTCATCTCTCCGTCCGCGAACCGAGGAAGTTCGAACAAGCCTGGGACCAGTGGATGCGCTCTGAGGGACGACGTGACTTGGGGCCGATTCAGTGGCCGCGAGGTGTCTGTCATGGGGAGTTTCCTCCATAGTCATGGTTGGATGCCGGGATACCCCAATAGTCGCTGGATGGCAAAACTATGTAAAACTCCATAGGAAATTCCGAAAATCACATGACTTAAAGATATTCTGGAGGTACCCCTGTGACTTTTCAGAAACCTCCGACTGGGGAAAAAAATTGGCAGGCGCTTGGCAAGGTGACCTCGCCCGAACATCCAGCAGGGTCCCACTCGTCCCATCCCAGGACTGGGACTGACGGAGCCCGTCCGTTTCAGTGGACCCAAACTGGTGCGCCCGTCAGAGAGGGCGGTTGCGCAAGCGCCACGGAATCCCACCAGTCGTCACTGTAAATGTCGGGTTCAGGGAACATCAGGGAACCGACACGTTCAAAAAAAATGGTCTGATCAAACTCTATGAAAAACAACATGTTGCGGAATGAGAAACAACATTTGGCCGCTATTTTTGGGTTCTTTTTTAACCTTTCATAATATTTCACCTATGATTACCTGTTTTTGGTGTTGTTCGGTGGCCAAATGTGTCCCTCCTCCGCAAGTGCTTGGATTTTTTTCGCTAATTTCCCCCTGATTGAAGCGGGCAAAAAGCTATGCCTTGATGTGCTGAACAGATCCCCTGGTTGTGGCAATGGAAAATCTTAAAAACATATACTTAATCTATAACATATTACATTATACTCATATATATATATATATGTTTTCCTTGCAATACGAATACTGTACATGATTTGTTTGGAGGCTTCTCCTTATCATATATATATATATATCCTTATATATATATATATCCTTGTATATATATATCATATATATATATATATGCACTAAAATATATATGTCTTCGAATCAATTACTGCCTCAACAGTTGGAAGGATCAGTGCCACTCTCGTAGCGACCTCGCAACGACTTCACCGCGTAACATTTGTCTCAGATTTTCTTTGGGATTTATCATACATGATATTTCAATATATTTCATAAATTGCTTGCGAATCAACTGCTACAGCAGTTGGTCATTGGAAATAGCAATTCAAACATAGTAGAATTGCTATATCCAATGACCAACCAATTGATGAATCAGTATAGCAATCAGCTCGACATATCGCCATCTCTGCTCGACAGGGAGCCGAGCTCACTGAAGAGTTGGATGCTGCCACCGATCCGGAGGCGGCCTTTTAAGTTGGAAAGCTGGAAAGGATCTATGGGGGATCATCCCCATCTATATACCCTCTGGTAAACATACAAACAACTGATTCGAAAAACCACCATTTTTCATGGGTAGATCCACTATTTCTATGGACATGTTCAATAGCTATTTTAAATTACCAGAGGGTATATATATAAATATTATTATATACCAGGGATGGATCAAAACCTATTACTGTATATACAAATAAAAATACCATATGACTGGGGGGATAACAATCCATTCACCATCTATTTTATAGTACGTAGAGTGCCAGGGTTTTGACTCATAGCCATATCTATATCTATATATATATACATATCTTATATGTTGATATCATGGAAATTCCTGAGAAAACCATATATAGATATATAGAATGGGATATAATGGGGATATATCCTATATCTATATAATATATATCTTTAGTAACATCCGTAAATTTATGGTATCTATATTTAAGTACCATGGATTTGTTACATCCCTTTGTACCACTCAAAATTGCATCTTTTTGGTCGGTTGTTATTACTGGGGATATACTGCTTTATGTTTATAGCGGATTAAACCATCAAATTATTGGATATGGAGTTTATACCTCCCAAACTTGCAAAAAAATGACCACCAACAAAAATGGATGTTTGGAAGAGATATATATATATTATATATATATATATTGCACTTGGATATGGCCATCAAAATGGGTTCTATATGTTTTTTTTTCCCGTCTCCTACGACTTGATGGCTTCAGACGTGGTTCATATTGCATCCCCAATGGGAAGATCTCAAACGATATCCGTACGCCGTAAGCTTGTAGCTCCAGTCACATGATATCCCTTATGGACCTATATGTATACATATATATATATATATACATATTATGTATATGGCAGTTTCCTGAAATGGAGGTACCCCCTATTTTCATCCAAATCATCCATTTATGGATGGTTTTCCCCCTAAATAGACCAAGCATTTGGGGATCCCCCCATTTATGGAACCATTTATGGAACCCCCCCATATCTGTATATGTTTGCACCCAATTCATATTTTGATCAAACACCAACCATTGACCTCTCCTTGGGATGGACATTTCAAAGGCATCATAAGATTTCCGATATAAAGTTCCATTTAAGACTATCCATTAATGGCATTATTATCCAATGGTTATCCCATTCTAAAACACATTTGGCTATGGATCAATACCTATTAATACCATTTTTAGGGGGATGAACATCCATAAATCCCAGCTATTTTGATGTTCACCAGGGTACTATTGGTTTTGACACACTGCCATTTGAATGATTCAAGCATTGTTTCTGTCTAGAAATCAATCTGTTGTGGCCTGCTGGCGTGATGTGTGGCAAGGTTTCGCCTGGCCATCTTTCAGATCATCTAACTATGTCATTAGCCAGGCGATCAATGTTAGCAAGCTTAGTTAAGCTTGGTCAACATGTTGCTTGGTGAAATCACAATATTTGAATCAGGACGTGATGAAGGCGCTCCCCACCAAACAGGACCTGGGCCAAAAAAAAATGTGACCTCACGTCGTGACCGAACCTGGAATCATGGGAATTGGATTCCGGGAATCATCCCCAGCCAATCATGTATAAATATACATACATACATACATACATGCATGCATGCATACATACATACATACACACACACACATACACACATACACACATACACACATACACACATACACACATACACACATACACACATACACACATACACACATACACACACATACATATACATATACATATAGATACATAGATACATAGATACATAGATGCACAGGTACATAGATACATAGATACCTAGATACATAGATACATAGATACATAGATACATAGATACATACATATATACATATATACATATATACATATGTACATATATACATATATACATATATACATATATACATATATACATATATACATAAACATGTACAATCCATTTTCATTAGGGATTTTCGGAGACCCATTTCAGCGACGTGGCATACCCCGGATTTGATGTCTGGCATAGTTTGGGGAGATCCGCTATTCAGACATGCCCACATATGCATAATCATACGACACCAGCATGTCTTTATTTCAGATTGGTGAATGTCTGAAACAACAAGATTGATGAGACGAATAGTGAACAACCACTGGATTTTGGAGCACCCTGTCTTCTTGACACAATGCGTATATATATATAATACATATGTATGCATGGGATACAACCTATGATGGATATAGCCACCAGTATGTGTTTGGGGAGGCGAATCAACCATGTAGTTATGAGTTTAGGTGAACTGTAGCGACCCCAACAGGACGTCAACGTAAATGATAACCCATATTATACATATTATCACCATTAACTGGTGATGGTAATGATTTATCAATATTGGGAATTATCATAATCCATGAACTGGGAATCCCTATTAACCAGGCAGTATAAAGGAACGACTGGCGGGTTCGAACACTGCTCAAATGGGCGTATAATATGCGCATTTCTGACATTTGCCCAGATGGAATATGACTTTGTCAATCTGGAATCAAACAAAAACAAATGGTGGGAAGCAACTGAAGCAACCAACATTTATCCACAAGGATTGGGGTTTAGCCATACTGATGGGGATTGCGCCACAAAAACCAATAGTTCCATGACCGAAATCTTCCCCGGCCTTAGAGCTTGACTTGGTAAAGTTTCCGTTTAAATCCGTTGAGACCAGGGTTTCCCATGAATAGAATAACATTCTGTGAAGGGTGGGAACCATGTGAACGCCAGAAATTGATTGAATTTGGCCCAAATACTGGGAGGTGACCAGCTGCCCCTGTCACCAACCGCTTCAAAATGCTTCAATAATAAATGTAGATATATAATATAGATCCATTATAGATCCCTCTGGGCTGGGAAGTGTTTCCATTTTTGTCCCTTTGGTAGTTTGTGTTTCTCAGTAAACCATGCTTGCTTAACGGGTCTTCAAGAATCTATGACAACCGAATGATAGCTGTTGGAGAGGTGCCTGCGATTGCCGGGGTCACCGGGGTGACTGGGGGAAAAAGTGGGTGATTTTGTTGCAGGAGTTGAGGATGAACAAGAAATATCGGACCAAGGGTTGGAGCAATTAGCCAGGGCCCAAGAATGCCGGGTGTGGTGCTGGAGCCAGGATGGGTATAGTGGTATCTATGGCCCATAAAAAACCCAGCCCAACTGGGGTATGTCCTACTGCCGGGCGTACAAGATGTGTGGAATCACCCATTTTTGTCATTTTTGTTGCTGAGTGGATGTTTTGCTTTGCCACAACCTTCAGGATGGGGCCCAGTGATGTTTGTTGGTTTATAAACCCATCTAAATATAGATAATATAGTTATTTGATGTTATTTGCGTATCATACACCAACTTGTTATGACATAGTTATAAACCCATCTAAATATAGTTATTTGCGTATCATACACCAACTTGTTATTATAAGTATCACACACAATAGTCACTATTGTTATAGTTATTTGCACCAACTTAGCGATTCCGAACTGGGGCCCCATCCTGTTGGGACCTTGTGGGTCTCAAGAATACAACGAATCAGTGGGATTCACATCGTCCAGCTGCTGGCTCAGTTTGCCGGAAGACATGTTCCCGGGACAATACAATGATGATGGAGAGGACAGCCTTCACAAGCCTGAAAGCTCAGCAAGGGTTTTCGGGCGTTTTCGGGCGTAGAAGGCGTACGCTGGAAGTTGAAACCGGAAACCGATTTGGATCAACAAAAGAAGCAGACACACATAAAATATGTTGGATGACGAAATTATGAATACCAATTATTACAATTTGAGATCCGAAAATAACATACTATGACATGAAGTTTCACATGTTCACCATTATTGGATCTCAGTTTTACTGTAATCCCAGAATCATCCAGAAATTGGCTGAACAAATTGAAGCCAATTCAGACAGAGATTGATCCAATACGTGTCGTATCTTTGATGGTGCCATTTGACTGGGCAAATTTGTCGAATGGTTGGATAATTTGCGACAGGAACGGACATCGTTGCAATGGGTATTGTGTGGCAATTCAACAGTTTGCGAACTGGAAGATCACAATGTTTAGGTAAAACATGCGGTAAAATCATCTATCAGTGGACCACGTTCATTATTTTCCCATGGCAAAGTGTTAGATTCCCGGAGCAAAAACCTTGGAAAACCCCAGGTTGTTCCGCCGTCCACTCCACAAGGCCCGGCAGGAGGAGGTTGTATTTGCAGAATCATCGAAGAAAATGGTGGCTTCACATGTTTTTTTTTTTTTTTAATGGGACATCCCCTACTTGTATGTATAATCATAAATGACGTTTATAATATAGCTGGGAAAATCATCGAAGGGGGATTTTCCTGCCCATGTTTCAAAGATATCTGTAGCATTCTGTAGAACCCCTGATTAGTGGCTTTGTTCTGCTTTATTTATGCTGGGGTTCCCAATTTTTAGGGGCCTCTATTGTGAAGGGCAAGGCCCTTGCTTTAGAACGCGCTCTCAAGCATCGCTTTAGAATGCCGAAATTAGCCTACGTCATCTACACAACATCTTCTACATGTTTTATATGACCTAGATCATCTACATCAATTTCATCCACAATACATAAATACATCAATGCATCTCCTACATCTCTCCTATATCCCATCATCTACATCATCCACATCTACAGCACATACATCCTCTACTCTACATCGTCTATATCAACTTCATCCACATCAAATCATCAACATCATCAACATCATCTTCATCAACTTCATCAACATCATCTACATCAACTTCATCAACATCATCTATATCAACTTCATCAACATCACACCCCACCCCACCATCCAGAGCGCATGTGAGAGTACGTTACCATCCCACCCTACCCCGCCTCATCCTCCCTTACCCGGTGCAAGTGAGCAGGTTCCAAGCCTACCATGCTGCCCCTTGCCAGTCCCATGATGCCATGTGTTCTGAAGTGATGTCTAGAAGTGTGTTCTGAAGTGATCCTGTTACCTTGTGAAGTGGAATGGATTGGACAGTTCAATCACAAAAGAGTTGACAAATCAAGGGTCAAGGGCCCAACGGGCCCACCTTAGCGATGTTTCTCATCAAGTTTCAGTCGAGCATGGGGAATGTATCCGTGATAGAAAATTGTTTTCCTGCAATGGATGGCACTACGGGTTCTTTCCCCACGTTTCCCATGGGATGGGGGCGGCTATCATTCGCTCATGAACACTACCAAGTAGTACTTGGGGTGCAGAGTTAAGATTGGTCATATAACCATATTCCAACTCATTAAGATTCCACTCCACAAATTCCACATATTCCACATATTCCACATATCCATATGGTGCCCCATATTCCAACTAATCAAAATCCCATGTTTTCACCTCAGTCGTGCAGCCCATGTCGCCAATTTTTGCCACAGTACCCTTACGACATCAGCAAGCGTGGCACCAACCATGTTGTGAGGCACGGGGCACTGCCATAGGTATTTGGGCACGGCATAGATATTATGGGATTACTATAGCTTATAGTTAATTACTGGGTTGATAGTTCATAGTATTAGTGACCAACGACCAGATATCACATGTCACAGATTTGGTTGGGATTCCTGTAGTCAATAGGGGGGTAGTTACGAACCGATTTAGGACTACTTTTTTCGGTGTTTTAAGGTATCTTTTATACACCAAACAATGGAAATATCGTTGAGATCATCGGATGCATTAACTGGATTTACCACATAACTCACTAACGGCACAGGTAGTCACTAGTTGTTAGCAGGAGAGCAAGAAGCCAATGCGACTGTAGAATAGCAGGATTGGGCATCAATTAGGGCTACCACCAAAAAGGTCTATGTAAGGGATGTATTGGAATGGAATATAGCTCAAAACCTGCAAAAACGAAGGCGACCCTTTAAAACGAAGGCAAACCTTACAGCTAAAGTTTGTTGATAGATTTCCATTTGAGCAGCGAACGTCAAGAATGGTATCACGGAGTTATTGTCGCTTGGTCTTTACCATTTTTCCCTTGTTTTCCTTTTGTTTCCTTTCTTGCTTTCATGCCTTTCCTGTGACAGTTTCTGTTGGCTTCCTTTCCGCCTTCGTTTCTTTCTGTTGATCCCGGCTTTTCTTTTCCTATCTTGTTTTTCCTCCTGCTGCATTTACATTTTGTCAAGTTTCTGCTTTCCGCCTGCAAGTATTCTTTTCATCCGGCGGTTTCGTTTTACCGTCTGGTTTTGCGTTCTGGAACGAAGCCAAAACGAAGGCAAAAACGAAGGCACAATTCACGACAAGCAGCTTGGCATGAACCTGGCCAGGAGCTGGCAAACCTTCTTCTCCATCCTGCGACTACTGCAACAACTACCATTGCCACTGCGGGGCCTAGTTGTGCTTTTGCTGCAGGCATTTGTCTTACCAGCACCGGCAAAGCACCAACAGCACCAGCACCACCGCGATTGCTGCTGCTGCTGCTGATGCTGATGCTGCTGGTGCTGGTGCTGGTAGCTGGTAGCTGCTGCTGTGACTTGCTGTGACTGCTGTCACTGCTGTCGCTGCTGTCACTTGCTGCTGTCACTTGCTGCTGCCACTGCTGCTGCTACTGCTGCTGCTACTGCCACTGCTACTGCCACTGCTACTGCCACTGCTACTCCACTGCTACTGCTACTGCTCTTGCTCCTGCTGCTTGCGCTGCCACTGTTGCTTCTTCTAGCACCTTCCTCGCTTCTACGAGTCACAGTACTAATCCTGGCACATCCTGGCACTGTTTTTTAATGTTTTTACAACTTTTGCCATTGCTGCTGCCATTAGCCTGAAATGATGACTGCGCGATACCGCACGTATATTTGTGAAGGTTTGGTCGAAACCCTTGTAAAACGAAGGCGACCCTTTAAAATGAAGGAAAAATAGATATTCCATTTTGGGGCAATAGAATTTTGGAGGTAGCTCAAGTTGAGAAACCAATCACCGTGGATGCTATTCCAAGTGACATTCAATTTATGTTTGGTGCAATCACTGTGGCACATCCATGTAGATGTGGCTGTATTGTTTTTTGGTCACCTACTGTCTCAGGACTAACAGAGACTGTGAATTTTAGTTGATCATACCAAGAATTCCTCACAACTTATCAGCTGAGACGGTCACTCAAGTTGAATCAGGGGTGGCTACTGTGTTCTTGAAAAGCATCACCTTCCAACGCCGACTGCGCTGAGTCATTTTTAACCAGAAGTTCAGTATCTTTTTGGTTATCGGATGATTCCCCACAAACGTAGATGGCTGGAAACCTCTGGGACTATCTTTCCCTAGATGAACATCCATAACTCCCAGCTATATCAACAATTTTCATATTCACAGGTGGATCCAGGTTTTGATCAGCAAAATCGCAGTAATTTTGGGATGGTTGTCTCAACATGTCTCAACCATAGCTCAGTGGACCTGATCTTCGCTGGTTTTCGCTGATCTTCACCCCCTCAAAGTGACATGGAAGTTTCGCCTCCAAATATGGCTTTCTTGGGAAAACCAGGTCTTGCAGATTCTTACAGAAATCCAGACATGCAAAGTGTGATTCTGGCAATGCCTTGTGATTTCATTGGTCTGACTCATTGTGTTTGTCTTTTGTCCACCTTCCGCTGTGACAGGGGCATTGTCTTCTAAGACAGCTCAACAAAAGATGAACACATCAAAATATAGATGAAATTGAGATGGAAATACTCATAAATTCATAAGCGCATATGTATGTATGTATGTATGTATGTATGTATGTATGTAATGTATGTATGTATGTAATGTATGTATGTAATGTATGTATGTAATGTATGTATGTATGTATGTATGTATGTATGTATGTATGTATGTATGTATGTATGTATGTATGTATGTATGTATGTATGTATGTATGTATGTATGTATTATGTATGTATGTATGTATGTATGTATGTATGTATGTATGTATGTATGTATGTATGTATGTATGTATGTATGTATGTATGTATGTATGTATGTATGTATGTATGTATGTATGTATGATGTATGTATGTATGTATGTATGTATGTATGTATGTATGTATGTATGTATGTATGTATGTATGTATGTATGTATGTATGTATGTATGTATGTATGTATGTATGTATGTATGTATGTATGTATGTATGTATGTATGTATGTATGTATGTAGTGTATGTAGTGTATGTAGTGTATGTAGTGTATGTAGTGTATGTATGTATGTATGTATGTATGTATGTATGTATGTATGTATGTATGTATGTATGTATGTATGTATGTATGTATGTATGTATGTATGTAAATATGCATAAATCACACATACAGTATAGATTGGAAAAAAAGATAGATAGATAACAATAGATGAGAACAGCTAGGAATAGATAAGAATAGACAAGAATAGGTAATAATAGATAAGAATAGATAGTATATTTTCTGTACTTGACCGTGTCAACCTCTATTTTTCAAAGATATGAATCAAATCAACTACTTCATAACATGGATACGTATTCTTTGATGTATGTCAAGCAGATATGCTGCGTTCCATTGTGCGATTCGCAGACGATCGTTCGAATTCCCCCCTGGTACGTCCCATTCCAGAACCTTATGGTATACATTTGATGGTGATCATCAGGCCTATACCTCCTATAAGATATATTTGTCATCCGTGCTAAATTCCTCAGAAATCTTGGATCAGAAGTATGCAAGTATATTATATTAGAATTCAGGCGGGTATTGTTTTCCATCTCGCTTACAGGCAGAGATCACGCCTTTACGCCTTTAGAAATCGCTTTTACTGTAGCGCTAGCGCTACTTTGGCGGTAGTTTCGCGCTAAATATCCTGAGACAAATTTGGGCATGGCTATGCCAAGAGTATTCCACTAGACTGTTGGGATATGTGTATTTGGTAAAAACTATTTGGATAGACGATGGTGTTTGTTATATATATATTTTTATTTCGTTCTGCGACGTGGAGATGCTGCAAGCGTTTTTTTTGGTTGCTGTAGCAGCCTCAGCTGTTTACTTCAAGTGCAACCATGTAATTGGCGCAGCCTGGAAGGGATTGGCCATGGAGCCATCACTGGTTTACACATCTATATTAAGGAAGGCCAGGCCTTGGGCCTCAGAAGGTCTGAAGAATTTCAGCCGCAAATGAACCACAAGACCGTGGAAGGGCAGGCCACATTGCGGCATGGCGCGCGCAAATTGGATCAAGTTCAATGTTTGACCTGTTGCTGTGTGCATTTATGTCCACTCCCATGGGTGATGAACAGCACATCTGGCTCTACGTCCTGGTTGGAACCGGCAATCGGATGAAACATGTCCAGATCACTGAGGCAGGTCTGAACCGCAACATCCCACTCAATGACTTTGATGTCCTACCTCCCAAGCAAACGGATCGAATGAACAGAGGCGAAGACGGATTCTTGATCAACAGCACGGGCACGGTGTCGTACCGGTACGTGTTGATTTGCCGTGATCCAGCCAACAAGACATGGCTTTACAGTGGACCATCACAACATCCCAAAGGTTTGCCACTTTCTTCGGAGACATATATCCACAAAATAGTTGCGGACGCTCTTTGCAGGTTTGGTTGTCCCTTATCAACTGAAGCAAGTCTGCTACTTAGTGCAGACTTCACGAAGTCAGCACCCCAATGCCAAATTACATTGCTTTTTGTCGAGCTGAACGCCATTGGGTGGGGTGCGAGTTGCACCATGGACCTCATACAAACGAATTGTATAGACATGACATGAAACAATGGGATCGCCACCTCCGGTGACTGGCACACGTTTGATAGATTGATACATTGAGGGAGTGTAGCACCTTTCTATATTTATATTCCGGCGTCAGACATGTATGCACCGAATTGTAGCTATCTAGCTTTGAAGCGACGGCTGCTCAGGACATCCGCTTAATGCAAAGGGCCGCCCAAATCATTGATGTCTTCCTCTTGCTGATGATTTGTCGCGTTGCTTACGCTGCTTGTAAATCCAACATCTAGGATTATGTTTGCGAGCTTTCCTCTTTCATTTTACGTTTCCGAGTTTCTTCCCTCTCATTCATTGTACAGTGATACCCACGCACACATACGTACACACATGCGCCGCGCCCAGATGCGGACACATGCACGTGCACAGATATCTACCAGGACCCCAACGCACCCTAAAATTCACTGGTCATAGAGTTTTGTTATCAATGACGTATTTCCATTTTTCCATGCTCAATTTTTTTACTGCTTCCCCAAGGATTTGGGAGGTTACACGCGTTAAGCCGACCTTCCCCCAGCTTTTCACTCTGCGCCCGCGACGCCGTTGAGTTTCTCGGCCAATGGCCTGCAAGCTGTCCATCCGGATGAGACCGTGCTATCGATTTTGGAAAGCATGAAGATGTGACTAGGCAGTCAGTCACCCTTTGGTGTTCAGTTTTTTACGCTGATTGAGTTCAATGCCATTGGATTCAACTCAGTATATCTGCAGGCCGCCGGCCTACGGACCGAACCTCAAAAGTGCAGCAACAAGTCCTTGACAAGTGGCCTGGGCTCAAGTTTTGGAATGCCTATCTTATGACGATTTTTGTTACCCAGAAGCTGGCTCGGGCTTTGCTACAAACACTCCGCAACTTCAGCGTACATTTTTCTTTGAAATTCATTGTGTTAGAGTACTGCGCGCGCTAAGTAAATAGCGTTTCCTTTTCTTTTGGAACTGGAATGAAAGGATATGCAGTAAGCTCTTCGAACATGCTGCCAAGCTTGTTTCGTACTTAAAAACTTAAACCTAAATCTATATATAATGCTAACATTTT